GCGCACCACCATTCCCGGTTAATTTTTTTTTTTTTTTGTAGAGACAGGGTCTTGCTATGTTGCGCAGGCTGGTATTGAACTCTTGGCCTCAAGCAATCCTCCCGCCCTAGCTTCCCAAAGAACTGGGATTATGTTATTTCATTTACACCACACAACATCCCTATGAAGTAGAAATTATTATTCCTGTTTTATGGATAGGAAAGGGAGGCTAAGAGAAATAACTAGCATAAGGTTGCAAAATTAGCAAACGACAGAATTGAGATAGAAATCGCATGTTTGACTGAGAAGCCTGTGCAAACTCTTGATATTCTATTTAGTAGTTAAAAGATTAAAATATGAGCAACAGACACCTTTTAATCTCATTAACTCTGGGACTTCTGTTCAATGATTTATATATTTTATGCAGAATAAGGCTCTTAGAATTACAGTCACCTAGAACTATGTCTACCTTGGTCTACATGTCTATTGTGGCCTATTTAAAAAGTTAAGAAGCTTAAATAATTTCTTTTGGCAAAAGAGTCACCTAACATCTGTCTCATGCAGAGTCAGAGCTGGTCTGCTCATGGATGCTCAAGACAACTATTCTTTTTCTGGAGTGGGGCTGAGTATGGCCTTGGGAATCTGCGGAACCAGGGTTTAAGGGCTGCCTAACTTTCTAGGCAAATTACTTCATCTTTCTATACTTAAGCTTTCTCATTTGTAAGTTGAAAACAATACCAAACTCCAGGGTTTTGTGAGGATAAGGTGTTTAGCACAATGTAAAGCACAGAATAAATGCTCAACACACATGAATACTGACATAAACATTACTTCGCCATCCTGCAGACCAACTCCAAATCTGCATGAAACAGAAAAACGAAACATTTATTTGGTACTAATCAAATTTCCTTTCATAATCTTTTATGGGTAGACAATACCATTGTATCCCCATTTTAAGAGGCAGTCTTTCAGTCTTTTCAAAGCATAACTTTGAAGCCAGAATGGCCTGGGTTAGATTTCTTCTTATACTTATTATTATTATTTGAGACGGAGTCTCGCTCTTGCTGCCTAGGCTGGAGTGCAATGGCACTAACTTGGCTCACCCGAACTCGGCTCACAGCAACCTCTGCCTCCCGGGTTCGAGCGATTCTCCTGCCTCAGCCTCCCAAGTAGCTAGGATTACATGCATGCACCACCACGCCTGGCTAATTTTGTATTTTTAGTAGAGATGGGGTTTCTTCATATTGGTGAGGCTGGTCTGGAACTCCTGACCTCAGGTGATCTGCCCGCCTCGGCCTCCCAAAGTGCTGGGTTTACAGGCATGAGCCACTGTGCCCGGCTCTTCTTATACTTATTACTTGCTTGCTTTAGACAAGTAACTTCACCTCTCCAAGCCTGCATCCTGATGCAAAACAAACACCAATATCCATTTTATGATTTATTGTAATAATTAAACGAGGTAATAACATATCTGAAGTATCTTTAATGCAGCAGATGTCAAAAAGTGATCGCCGTAATTATTTTTATTTTGTAAGGGAGGATTAAACACATTTAAATAGGACATCACAGGAGTGGAGCTGGATCCCAGGTCCGACTGATTCCTAGGCCTGCGTTCCTTATTGATTACAACATAAGACAAACAAGTCGTCTTTGGTGAGAGAGGTTGGGGAGAGAAGAATGTTTAATTTCTCCATGCCCTGCAATGACATGTATAACCTTCACTGTTGACTATTTGGCCAGATTGTTGAATTATGTTTTGTTCTTTGGCAACTTGGGGTATGGAACGTAGAATAACAACGCCTTCACACTAGTAACCTCCAGGCTTGTCCCTAGGATTCTACAGCATGAGCTTTGTGGGTAAAGAGAAGCTCACCAAATTCAGCCTCCAGCAGCACACACAGCTCGGAAGCAGCGCCCCGCCCAGATGTTTATATTTTGCTCCATCGGCCCCGCCCCCCGACCACGAGGGGCTCTAGCCACGCCCCCAAGCTCAAGTTTCTGGGGCCGGACTAGCCCAGCGCGTCTGCCTACCCACAGGGATTCCCTCTCCAGCCAATCCGCTCAGAGCAGAGGAGCTGCCCCGAACAAAGATGGCGCGGGAGGCGTCTGTGAGGGCAGACTGATCCGAGCACCCAAACCCTCGGCGGACAGCGGAGCCAGTGGTAGCGGCACGGCCCCAACCATGGAGGAGGGCGGCAGCACTGGCAGTGCTGCCAGTGACAGCAGTACCAGCGGGAGTGGCGGGGCGCAGCAAAGGGAGCTGGAGCGCATGGCTGAGGTCTTGGTCACCGGGGAGCAGCTACGGTAAGGCAAGAGACACAGCGGGTGAGCTCACGATGGCACTGCCAACGCGTGCCCGCTGCAGTCCTGCGCGCACGCG